GACGGCTTTGCTTGATGCCTTGCACGTGGTGAAAAAAAAACATGAGTGCGTGTTTTTAGGTGGCGTGAGTACTCTTTGGGTGTTTTTTGCAGAAAGTGCTCCTAATAGGAGAGAAGGACACTCTTACTTTGAAAGCAGTACCAGAAAAATAGTGACTAATGGAGTAACTGTCAAGGTCAGATAGTTGCAGCTGTGTCAGTCTCACCTTTCCGTGAATTTCTCAAGAAAGCTCCAGCAACCTTCCCACTTTTCTCTGTAAACAACTCCAATCATCCTAACGTTGGAAATAGCAGTACGTTGCGAAGCGGCGCCGTAGCGCGACGCTATAGCGCGACGCTGCAGCGCGACACTGCAGCGCGACGCTGCAGCGCGACGCTGTGGCGCTACAAGTCTGAACGCTGCCCAAAAGATACCCCTCTACAGCTGCCACTCTGTCCGCCCGATTTATGGAAAAGAACAATTACGTTTATATTAATGGAGGCTGAAACAGTGTGACATTGTTGACCCTAGTTCCGTTCCATGCACTGCTTTCATCGAAAACAAATCGAGAATCGACGGACACCATCGTAACCCCATTAATTTTGAGCTTCTTTTGTCGGAATGCAAAGATGCGTCTCTTGAGCTGACTGTTCTCATCACTTTTCTAAAAAAACGACTTTTGCTCATGAAGTTTCCAAAATTTCATATATTCGGAAAGCTTCGAAAGAGATGTCAGTTATAGGGAGATAGCGGTGGGCCACTGTTCCAGCTCAACAAGAAAGGACGATACGTTGAACTCGGTGTTACATCGGGTGCTGTCCCTGGGCCCTACGATTGTGATACACCAGGTATGCTTTCTATTGGTTCTCTATGATTTCCTATTGTATCTCTGTAAAGGATAGGACAGTGGTCTAGGAAGAAAGCGAGACACGAAACTCAAGTCTAGGCAGAAAGCGAGACACTAGAAACTCAAGTGAATTACTGCTGTTGGGGGAAGTGTGCATGGGAAAATCCTTCTGTCATGTGAACAGCTCTCATCGATGCAGATGAATGGGCAGTGAGGCTAGGTTTGGCGTGGTGTCAGCCCATTCCTCACCAGCTTTTAGCGTGTGAAGGGCAACAGCTGGTAGAAAACGAGTGGTACGACTGGTAGGATACAGTCTTATCGCTTGCCAAGAAAAGAAGAAAAGAGATTCACGACAACGGAAAGATGAAGCTTGGCAGCTGTCGCTAGGACAACCCGGACTTGTTGCCAGCCTAGGGTGGCTGATTTCAATACACCTAAGGCGGTCAGTAAAGAGGCATCGCTACTGCTTTGTGGCCGACCAAACCTTTGCTAACCTCCGAACGGAGTCCTTCCCGAAAGACTACATTATCAATTAGATTCGCAGCCAAGAGAACAGTAGCTTCCCTAAAAGCAGCTCCTTCGATCCTGATAGGGTGTGATTAAGGACATATGAAGGGTAAGGATAAAGTGTCCGCCGCTGATGAATCTCTTTGTGGCATGCGGCGCCACAGGGCATTTGATGAACCAGAACAGTGGAAATCAAACGGCTAAGGTAGGGCAAAAAAAGCAGCTGAACTCTGGCCTCAGTAGCTCCTCAGTCGGAGCGCTTACAATATTACGAGAACACGGTGGTATTGTGATAGAGGGTAATTGCTCTCTTAAGGTCATGTGGTACCATCCAAATGTCGATCTGGTGGTCCAGTAACAGACAGTATACGCGACAGTGACGGTCTTCTCCCTTGTATGGGGTTCATCAGAAGCCGCAATACAGAGATGCACTGCCACTGTATCCTATATATGCTTGGGCCCACGAAACCGAAGTTACATGGAAGTTGCTGGAAATTATAATAAAAATTACATGAAGCATAGGAAGGAAACGAAGAGCTAGACGTATGAGGTAGATCTTCTCCACTGGGGTCGAAAATGGGATCGTCTTGCAGTTTAGTAGTTCCTTGATAACTCTATGTAATATTATGGAGTGTCACAATAGCTTCTAACATATATAAATGAACACAAAATTACAAAATATGACCGACATATATTTCAGTGAAGTGGATGGTCTTCGCGGATGTGCGGAAAAGCATCGACTGGATTTGCCAGACCACAGGTTTTTTTCACAAAGAAGCTCATGAATGGCATTTTTATTATGATCTTTATCTCTGATCTCCTAACAACGAGGTGATTATGTAAAAAGACCTCACATCATGACAAAATTAGCATCAGAGGTCTGAACCTGAAAGTGGCTCAAGATTTACTAGCTGTCATCTAGACAACCATACTAATGCTCAACAATCAGCCTTTACGTTCGAGTGTGTGTCGACTAATCAATGTTCAGGCGAGAGAACACCCCAGCAGTGCACGGTATGCTGTTGAAGTGAAGCTTCATGAGCTGTCAGTTCCGGATAGAGAAGCTTCCTTCAGCGATTGATGGGCCTGAATTAACGTTGATCACTGTTCCAGATCTTCCAGCTGGATAGTTGCAGTCTCCGCTCACCAAGAGAACAAGTATTACCCTTAGATGGAACAACAGCTTGTCACCTCATTGTATAACTCCAGCCCGAAGGAACAAGGCTGTAGGAGAAAGAAGGAGCACAGGTGAGACAGAGAGCAAATGGTGTCCCTCTTTTCTCAACGTCGACGGCTGCCTTTCAAGTTGGTTGTTCCATTGCTAACGCCCATCGCTGGGGCTTTCATACGTGCAGCTAGATGTGAAAGATATTGGTTAGTTTGGTGATGTGATAAGAGTTTGTGAACTGTGAGGTTGGGAAGAAAGGCTTGCGAGATTTCGACCAAATTTTTCGTACGCGAATTTGCCTAAATGCACCAATAATAACCAGACTTCGGCGCCCACCTTTTGCTTTCGTTTCCACTCTTGTTGAGAATCACGACAACTATGATCAAGAAGAAGAGGACCTTCATTTTGAAAGGACGTCGTCTCGACATTCTATTCCCTAATCAGATGCGGCAGGGATCAAGAAGAGGTGAGCCTACAGAGGCTGCTAACTTTAGTAAATTAAGCGATCGCATTTCTTGAGTCGTTTTACAGTCATCATGAACCCAAACTTTTCAACCTTCAAGCACATGATGGTTGTTATAAAGTAGGTTAAACTAGCTAACGTTCGGGTGCGAACGAATGTGCTAAGCTCATTCCACCGAAGTTACCATACGCATCAGTTAGGCCTAAACCATCTGTAGACGAGTAAAAATCCATAAAGGACCGGTCACTGAGACGATTCCCATTGGATTCCTAGTAGTGAACCTATACTCAACAAGAGACATAGGAAACATTGTATGCATCCACTCGATGATAGGTTTCCCGGGAGCATGGTTTTTGGCTGGAAGGCGCGTATTTGTAGGGTGGATTCTGGCGAGACGGAGTCAACTGATAAAGGGCATGTACACCGTACAACTTTCGCTGCGAAACAAGGTTCTACAGGGTTGTCCTTTCCGGACGCACTAACCCTTCACATAACCTCTTTGCATTTTTCATAGGTCGTCGCGAACCATTCCCTCAATGTGGCAGCGGCTATCAAGTGTAACCTACCCTTTCTCTGAGATACGCACTACTCAAACTCCTTTCTATCGCGTCTTCTTTTTCTATGCACTTACTCGCATACAGGCGTTCTACAAACCGCTGTGACGCGACTATTCCAACTTTTTCGTGTAAGGATCACAATGAAGTGGTACCAGATTGACTCTGGGAGAATGGAACAGCTGAACTTGTCCTGTCGGTTGGCCTCCAGAAGTCACTGTACAGGCCCATCGCATCCAATGTGCCACTAGCACTCTGAATGGAAGTAGAATGCGTGCCGCATCCCAAAAAATTGATTCATCAACGGCGAAGACTTTATCCTTTCATCAGGCAAGCAGCCATTGTTCTTCCAGCTGTCTGCATGCAGAACTTCATTCAGGGTTATACCAAAAGGTCAATTTGTTGCGTAACGCTGTCACTGTGCTCCCCAATCTACAAGCTAAATAAGCATGTGATGGTGGACGCGAAATCAATCGCTCATACCGTAAGCACCCCGCCCCGCACCATCGCAAGTTTTAAGGCGACGTGGGCTCTAACATCAAGCGAGAATAACCTCTGTTGTAGAAGTGACTTGAAGCCCACTGGAAATGGAGGCGATTTCATTCGCGAAATAATTTGGCTGTGGCGTCATAATGGCGGGGAGCTTTAGAGTTTGTGTTACCGTGTCCGTATGTCCTCGCTGGAACAAGGAGGGGGCTTGCCCTAGTTTACGGCCCCAACATTCCGGTTTGAGAGGGGGAGGGGTGCGTTCGTCATTTCCTTTATCAACAACTTCTCGTCTCTCACCGGTCTTCCTGTTTTAGCCATGTCTTTCGTCTCCAGTCTGTACAAGCGGTACCTGCCAAACGATTGTTTAGTGCAGGGATCTTAGCTTGAGACATTTTTTCGACACTATAGTTTGGTTTTTTCTTACTTATGAGCCACCCAAAATCTGCGAACTCTTCCGAATTATTTTGAACCCCATGTGCTGCAATCGCGGCAGTGTTCTCGCCATTGGGCTACGTAGTTGCCAGTTGGCATCAGAACTTCGAGTGGCCCAATCCCTTTATTTGCTCCGGATTAGAGTCCAATAGATCTGCCGAAGTTTCATGAGGAGGGAAATGCGACTTGTGGTTGTAATCGTCCCTCTTTCAGGATTTATAGGCAATGCTAACGTCTTTTGCTTGTTCGATAGATATTTTGTTTCTTTCAGGAACCCTGTCAACGCATAAAATAGATGTCCCAGGTTTTGAGGAACAACCCAGTAGTACTACTGAAACGATGGCGTCTCACGTAGTTGAAATAAAGAATTGATAAATAGCGTTCTTGTCCTTTCTGTCGATAAAGAAAAAAAAACATGTCGTTAAAAGCACGCGAACCTGAGGAGCTGGGAAAAGATGACTCGAGTAAACGTGAATGAAAAGAATGTATGTAAGAGACACGATACAGTAAGCAAGAGGAGAACTCACTCATCAAGGAGAATCAAATGTCTTTCATAAGGGGATGCGGGAACGAATATGTCAGAGGGCCGAAAAATCACATTCGTTGAAAGCCGAACAAAGCGAACCTGAAACAAAGCCTACATGTGACGAAGTCCCAGCAGTCAGTCTCGTCCCGTTTTGCAGATAAAGAAAAAGCGATCCGGACGAAAACCTAAGTTTGCGACTTTCTCAGATGCAAGGAGCATTCATCAGCATGCATCAGCAGACAAGCGAAACGTACGGAAACGCGGCAGCTGCATTTTCGATTTTATTTTGATGAAGGATGCAAGTCCTAGCCGTTGATCAATTCCTTTCTATTCAGCGTCGTGACGGCTTATTGAGTAGGCGTGTGCCCATACAAGGGGGGAGGGAAGCCGATGTAACAAGTCAGTGTTCTTAACCTCCTAGACAAATCTGGTGGGAGGGGAAGCTCGGTTGGCCTGGGCGTAAAAGGGCACATCGCGTTTCCTGAAAAAATATGACCCTCTATTTTGTCTTCATGCCAATGACCCAGTCCTCACCATGCTACCTACTACTTCCCTAGATTCACCCGTTCTTACCACTTTTTCCATTCCTATCCCGAAAATTTCCAGTTTTCCAGCCAAGAATTTTCGTCGAGCACGGGGGGGGATCGTCAGGATTTAGTTATTCACTTTGAACTATCGGAAATAAGTAGTTGTATTGATCTTCGGCAATCTCTCCGAACGGATAAATACGATTTCCTCCGCTAATCGCGGTCAAATACACTCACAACTGCCTCCTGTTTTTTGTATACTGTAAGTTTATCCTCGTCAGTTGTTATCTGGTAGAAATTTCCTGTCCCGAAGGTAGAAGGCTGGACCGCCTGGATGCGTCCACATTCTTACTTAGAGCAACAGTGAATTGAAGGCTCTGAATTTCAGACTGAAATAATCTCATGCTTTGGTGATAAAGTACGAAGCTTTCTTTCGCTCCCACCAAGCTGAGCAAAAATATTCTGAGAAAATTCGAGCCTGTTTGCTCAATTCCATCTATTGTGTGGGAGAGCATTTGAAATAAGATTTAACACAACAATGTTTCACTGCCTCAATAGAACTAATTTTAAAAAACATGTCCCACACTAAAGATAAGACTGCCATTAGTGAATACAGTAGTTTTGGCAGAAACTGATTAGCCTTCCACTGCAGCTGCTTGGGAATGTGCTTAACGGCGACCGGTGCTTAGAGTATAGCTTTCGGATGCGTTGAGCTTGAAAACTCATATGTAGTGAAATAATGTTGCTCCGGGTTTCTGGCAACACTCTACCTACTGTGGGGCGAGTTTCAACAAACCACGGAAACAGTCACATACGCTACATGTTCCCTTGTCAAACTATTTTTTCTGATGTCACAAGTCACTCAGATTCAATCGAGTCACTCAGATTCGAGTCGTGAAATATCGTAGCAAGCACCGCGAATCACGTGCACTGCCATCTTCGAGATATNTCCCCATTTCATTCACTAGCCCTTTTCAATCCAATGTTCCCGGCGCATATGCTACGCTGCAACCAATCCATAGATTTTTGACTTTTACTCACCTACCTTGACACATGCTTCGACCACAATGGGCGCGTCTGTCTCACTTTGCTAGTTGAACTCACTCTTGCATACCTCTCCCTTTTCCCGGTGCCTGGAGTGCTCTAAAAACGTCTTACACATTTTTTCGTTTTGCCCCTCGTCGTAAGCTCCAACCCCAAAGGGGCACTATGCAATCGGCGTCTCATTACATACACATTACATACACTTTTTCTCGGTGTCTCGGAGTGCTTGGGCCCCTGCAAACTTCGAAGCTCAGATTCGGCCACCTCACCGCACCCTCCGCCCTTAGCAGATGTGTCTCCCACTTCTCAAACGGTGAACCACTTAGCTGAGGGCGCGCTGCGCTCACTGTGGGCGGATTTCAGCACATCGTGAATATAATGGACCGTCCACAAATGTTTGCCTTTGCCATGGTCTTTGTTGCGACCCCTAAGCAGAATTCTCGAGAACGGGGTCACTGAATTCCGTGGAAGCATGTCCATGTGCGCCCTACCCACTTCGGGTGTGTCTCCTCCACTTGGTCTATCAACCTATTGCTAACCATATTCCACTGTTCCCCATCTCAGCCAGCCTGGAGCAGAGTTATGAATTTTGCAGCGACATCGCTTCATTGACATCGTGCCCTGCCTACTGTGAGGTGGGGGGGGGTTGCCAAGGGTCACGGGTGCTAGTTATATCTTGCCCTATGTTCTAATCATCCCGACCTTGACCCCAACTCTCCGAGTTGTTCCTCTCGTAGAACAAAACTTCCGGACAAAGAAACGCGGAAAATTATATAGAGTGGTGAATACTGACTAGATGAATGCTATGTGGCAGACACAGTGACTTGCGGGGACCCAGCCGCAAGTCGCTGTGTCTGCCACATGTGCACAATTTAGTGTTTATCCTCCCAGACGAAGCGGTAAAAAGTTGTGCTTTCCATGCGGCAGCGTTCTGGCTTTGCGATGGCGGCATTTTGGTCGCGCGTTCGACGCAATCGCTGCAATTGAAAGCATGGGGACAAACGCGTTACAAAGCGGCGCCATCGCGAATTCTGAACGCTGCCGACGGAAGAAGGCTCGGCTGGCCTAAGCGGGATCCAGTACATTATTTATTCTCAGACGGATCGCGGAGAGTGACCCACTTGCCGATGAACCACCTTCTCCTCATGGTTGCGTCTTTGAAAAGTTGAAGTAAAGTTCACGAGTTTCAAAGGTCCCAAAGCAAATGGTCCAATGCTTGGGCTGCTCCCACAAGCTGAGCTGAAAAGTGTTCTCACAAAAGTGTCTCCTTGCTGACTTGCATCGGTGTGGGAATGGGAAATTTGAATAAGATTAACATAAAAGGTTTTGTTCTCTTGATGAAACTAAACTAAAACATGTTATACAAAGTGACTGGCATTAGTGAATGCAATCCTTTTGTAAGAGTGGTGAATTTTTATAGCTTTTTATTGCAGCTAAATTAGGTTGTTTCAGTTTAATTCAATTCACATTACGCTTGCTGATAAAAACGGAAATTCATTTAGTTGCTCTGTCCTTCTCAGTTCTGTCCGCCAGCGTTAGGCTGCATCCAGACTCGAAACGCTGTACAACGCAGCAACAAGCGTTACTGCGCTGTACGCGTTGCGTCTGGACGATGTTTTAGCGAGAAGGGGATATGGCCCGAACTTTCGGATTGTATGAGCCATATGCCATGCTCTCCGGCCTTACGGATATTTCACAATCAGTTTGCATTACCCTTTCAATGTATTTTTTCCACAGAACTGTTTTGTGTTTTTCCCGATCTGGAAACATCACAGACAGAAATGTTTGTAATTCCACACAATGTCAGCTCTTTTATCATAGCACGCTAATTCATAACGAGGTTTCTAAGACAGCTTTTTAAAACCAGGGTCAGGCATCACTTCGCAGAAAATCGTGTGATTGGCACGACTCCCACACCCTTTGGAAAGGGGTGTTGAGACGACCCCTCCCCCACCACTTGGCGATTGTGCGTGTTTGGAGGCAGCTGCTCTGAGTGTCGTGAGGTTGCCGTATATGTTGTGTATTGAATTTCATCTAATAATTATCTGAGAAACGAGACCGATTCCCCAAACCAAACAAACGATACTTCTGAAATCTGAAAGCTCACTTTCTCAGGAAAAGTGTAATGCTCAGAGTGAAGCCTCGGGAAAAAATTAACAATGACGCCATTCAAGCGAAAGAAAAAAACAAAACAACAGGAAGGAAGCTGTGGGCTTAAGCGCACTGCGGCCGCTTCGCGCAGGAAATTAGTAGAGTCTTTTTCCACTAACCGCACTCGCATGCTATTTTTAAATGGATATAACTTAATAAAGGAACCGATTTTCGCAGAGTGGCAAGGAAGAGTCAAGAGTCAAGTGGCGCGGCCATGCTCTGTAAGAAATACATTACGTACCCCATCAAGCTTGCATGGCGACTTCCAGCCAGAGAATAACGCGGAGAAATCCGGGCAACCCGAGTTCTTCACCTTTCAGTGGTGATAACTTTGGTCACTTAGTATAGATAGGAGGTCTACATTAAATTGGCAATTGGAAGTTTTTCTCTTTTGAATGAGCTCAACGGCTTCGCTGTAGCTCAGTTATAGCAAAAATTCGCATCTAGCGGAGGGGCCTCACAAAAATAACGCGGTCGGAGTTTTCCCTTCAATATCTTCGCTCAGACATAATTTGGTCAGAGATCTACAAAGCTTTCAAAAGTAGAATGTTTTCTGTTGAGCGCAACATCCTTGCTTTAGCTCAGCAAAAGCCGAATTTCGCCCGTCGCGGATTTCTCTTTGAAAGGCAGCTTTAACTGCAGCATGAGGAGCTTCCCCTTTTGAAACCCACATTTCCATACACATACCTCGGGAGGCTCCTCATATACATTCTCCTCATTTCACAAGTAGGAACTGCAGCACAGAGGTGCTGATCAACGCTAACATGGGATGCGCCAAGTACTCGTCTCTTTTTCGAAAGCATAACCTACTAAGCAAGTTTTTATCGCTGCCGTGTTGAGTAATGACCTTCACAAATATGACCCTCCCCCTCCCGCGGGAGGCATACGACCATTCCGAAGTGTGAATGGGGCTTCAGAAATGACGAAGATTGATCTTTCCTTAATTCCAGATGATACTCTCCACCGTATTATCATTGCTTGTGGCGGCAAACTGCTACCGTCTTTCGCGGAAAGAAAATGAACTGTTGCAGAAAAGCTGCGGTGTGGGCAATTTAGGTAAGTGTTACAAGCAAAACGTATCGCTTCTCCACGTGATGGGTTTTGTTTTCGACTCAGAGCGAACTGCACAGTTATACACAGTTATGCGGTAGCATTGAAAACTTTTCTTTTCCGCCTGCAAGGAAGTTGGTCCTCAGTTGCAGTGGGGTGTCACTTTCACCGGAAGTGCACGGAAACGAGGCTGAAGGGTAGCCATACCAGGGTACCTGGCCATACGCCTAACCATAGCCAAACGCGGTGTTGATCAGCAGCCCCTCACCTTCTTCCACATCGTGCTTGTGTGCAAGAGCATGAGCTTCTCACACTTGAAAAGAGTCCACAGGTCCTATCAGTGAAGCCATGCAGTTCAACAGAGACTTGTCGAAAGTTAGCAGGAATGCAAAATGCCTGTTTTCCTCCCCTTATCAGAACAGAGCCCAATTTTCTATAGTGGTATGTGGTGAAAAGTGGGTGAAGAGGGGAATTAAATCTTGTATTTTAAAAATACTCACAGGGAGAGACAACATTAGTGGATCCCTTCACCGTTCTGTGCAGTTTGAACATTATTATAAAGAACAGAAGGGCGCAATCAAGAGTTTTCATTATCATCCATTGTTATTATCATTATTAACATCATTTAGGGTCTTCCTCTACAATGAAAATACTTGGCGGACATCTTATAAAGCCAGGCGAGTATCCCTGGATGGTCAAGCTGCACTTTCCCATAGATCTGGGATGTTAGCGGTTTCGTTCAATCCAAATCCCTCCCTGTCAAATAGAGGGCCTAACATTCGGTTTTTTAGTTATACAAACTGTGACCACATGCAGTGCATCGTTAATCTCTCCACGACACATTCTCACAGCCGCACATTGTACGAAATACCTCAGCTATTCGAATGTCACAGATGAATGCGATGGAAAGCTAAAGAATTCCGTGTTCTCGGAACTCAAGCCAGAAGAATTCGCCGCGTACGTTGGGACCCTCTGTAATCCTCCCGAAAGATGTAATATTGCACACTCAGTCTCGAAGGTTTGGAATTGCTAACAAACATATCAAGTATTTCTTTGAAGCTCGCTCTACACAGAACCAGTTCTTTTCTCTACATCAGGTTTTTGTCGACAAGAAATGGGACCGCTGTGCGCTTTTGAAGGAGGATAAGTTTCTCCCGTTTACGCACGACCTTGCTGTTCTCGAACTCAGTAGGGAAGTCAGCAGCAAGGATGCCATCCCAATTTGCTTACCGAACAGGAAACTTGAACTGGCAAAAGAACTTCAGGCTGCAGGAAGTGGATTTGAAAACTGTAAGTTTATGTATCTTGTATTGTATACAGCAATGAGAAATGTTGACATTTGTCAATAACCCCCATCTCTTACTGCACTTTACAACCTTGAAGTTATTGCAAGATTTCTGAGGTCCAACAATACGAGCGGATCCCTACTTTTTTCAACTGAACGGGAAGGACGAGGCATCCCATACTACCATACCCACGTTGACTGAGGAGGTAATTAGCTCTTGTTCACAGTTTGTTCCTCGAAGTAAGGTTGAGAGAGGACCCTTCTATAAATTGAAGGAACCATTAGAAATACTGCTCGCATCCGAAAGCTGCGGCGCCACAGGCCACCGCGGCGGTCAACTACAGTATCACAACATACCCAAGTGAACCTAATGCACACTATCGCGCAAGAATGGGATCGATCTGGGAGCTCGCCGTATGGATAACTGAAATCAAGCCACGCGGTTTTATGTAAGCTAATCGATGAGATGTGCTCCGAGGAGCAAAGGGAGCGAAGTCGACTGAGCCAAAAGTCGAAGGAGCGAAAGTGCCGAAGTGTCCAAGTGCAGAACCGCGTTCGCATTGTACTTTTATAGGCCAATTTCTCGCCAGATCGATGTGTGGGTCGATGTGAATGATCTGCCGCGATCAAACTGCTTCAGCTGGCTTAGCTGAACAAATCTGAACTAAACTTCATATTATCAAGTGAACATACAGAACAAGATACAAAAATACAAGTATAACACAATATAACTTGACTACTTGAGAATGCGCAGTTAAAGTCGCTTTCGCGACACACATTAGGAAAGGAGAACTTTTTCTTGTAACCTATGGACAAATACACAGGAGGAGTGCAAATCAACGCATAGCGCAGCTTTTTTATTCTCCAATTTCTGTAATTGACGTAGCAATGCAGCGAGGCGATATCAGGAAACGTGTGATAGGCTCACCTGCGGCTTTTTCCAAGTGGTTGTTTCATACCTGAATAGGTCACTAAACGGCCACAATTTGCAGAATGGCGCTCATTCGGCTGCTCATCATATAAATTCGTGACTTGCGGCACTTGTGAGTGACGTCAGCTCATTTTCTCTAACCGCAGATATCTATAGCAAATATAGTATAACTATGCATAAGCAGCAATAGCCATAAATGTCTACCATGTCGCAGTCTGAATGAAATCTGGCGCGACAGGCTGATGCAAATAGAAAAAAAATCCCATCACGCGCGACGGAGGGACAAACTAGAATTGTCAATTTGAAAAACTGCCGTTTCTCACACTGCCATGACTGATTGTAATGGTGTCATCAAAAAATCAACACAAAATTCGCGGGGGGCAGCAATGCTGTGTTCAGGAAGTAGGAGGGTGTTCCCGAAGAGTTCGCTCCACATCCAATTTTTTCCAAAACTGATAAAACGGAAAAGATATTGCCATCGCGTTGTCGGGAATAACACCAGAAAGGCGATAGTGGAGAGCACAAAACGTTTAATGAACTGTTTCTGAGAATTGGCTAAAGCTGGCTTAATCGATTTGACGTCATCTGTTGGTATTGAAAGAATGCAAGTTTGTTAAGCGACGCCAATTTATGATCCAAAAGTCAAGGTCAACAACGTTGCTACAATTCCATTTGTCAAGGAAGACGACCGTGAAGTACTTCTGGCACCGGGCAAAGCCACTGCTACATGCCCTGTGAGTCCACATTCGCACTTATTCCAAACACTACTTCTCTACGGAGAAAAACGCCCAACAGAACTTGCCCCTGATATCTGTAAACTACTACGGATCCCTTTCTCCAAATTCACATTCTCCGCACCGAGGTTGACTAATTCCATGAGCGAGGTGAGCAGGTTTGCTACTGCACGACGGTGACATTTCTCACTTGGAAGAGCATGGGAGTCAGGCTGGGGTTAACATGTTGACGACAACGCGCGTTTTTACTTTTTGGCCGCGTGGGACATGCGCGCTTTGTTGAACGCCACAAGCGCGGTACTCATACAGTTCAGACCGGCCCACAATGCGCTTTTTGTGGAGATTGGATCGTAAAACCTGGTTTAGAGATTAATTGTGAGGTGAGTATTATTTACCATGGAAAAATCTGGGCTGGTCAGCTCTCTTTGCACCAAGGCCAGGAATTTGTCTGTAACCAATTTTTTTCATAAAAAACGCAAATCGTGCTTTTTATGTGATTCAGAACACGTCATCTTATGTTTTTTCATAATTATTAATGTTGTAATTGAAAGATGGGGAGCAAACCAACTCAAGCTTATTGCTCTTTCCACAGGTTTGGTGTTTTACCAATGAAAGTACTCGCACGTGTAAGATTTATTACGACGTGTTCGTACCGAACCGTATGACCGACCTTAAGACACTGAAATGTAGGCTTACATACAGACGAATGTGGGCGGTGCTCACCAACTGTACCGATGGCGGTACTTGAGAAAGGGTTGAAAGAGCGCATCGCGCCAACGGGAACATATAAAGTATCTACTCAATAATACACTTAAGATACCGCTAGGTCATACCTGCGGTACGAGTTCAAGGGGTGCTTATCTTCGGAGTGCAATTGAGTGGAGCTATTATGTCATCGTTCGTTCTACAGCTGGACATATTATATATTATCTATATGTTTATGTGACGATACTGGTTGTGAGTTCACAACAGCAGGAAATCTTTGCTAAACTTGTGTGTTCTACATGATTCCATGTGACCTGACGACGTGTTGTACAAGTATACTAAGTACTGGCCTGAAGAATGAATAGGATAAACCGAACAAAAAAATCTAACACTGAAAAGATATGAATTTGTTCATCGTGATTCAGATACAATTCGCGCGGTCCACGAGGCCCACAACGCGCGCATTAAATGTGTATCGCGCTGTCGTCAATGTGTTTACTCAGGAAAGGATCTTCGTTTAAAATCACTACCGAAGCGACACGTGGGATCGTTCCTGCATGGGTACGTTCGGCGTCACGCAATCTTGTTCCCGATAGAGATTGCCAGTGTGAGAATCATGGGCGGAAGTAGGCTAGTGCTGCGCCAGAACGTGTAACTTACATTAGCATAGACACTTCCAATCAATACTCCAATGAGCATTGTATGCCTCGCTTGCAAGCAAGTTCAGGGGCCGCATGACTATTCTTCTGATTCTGCAAACGAATTACAGCTTAGGCAGCGTTCAGACTTGTAGCGCGTACTGCTATTTCCAACGTTAGGATGATTGGAGTTGCATACAGAGAAAAGGGAAGGTTGCTGGACGTTTTCTTGAGAAATTCACGGAAAGGTGAGACTGATACAGCTGTAGCTATCTGACCATCCTTGACAGTTACTCCATTAGTCACTATTTTTCTGGTACTGCTTTCAAAGTAATAGTGTCCTTCTGTCCTCTTAAGAGCATTTTCTGCAAAAAACATCCAAAGAGTACTCGCGCCACCTAAAAACACGCACGCATGTTTTTTTTACGGAAGAACCATAAAGGAACTTCTTGTTTTGCCTTGTGTTAACGCATTGGTGACCAGACAGTGTTCGCGTGCCTGGTGTGAGAGATAAGGCTATTTTTTACGCTCCTGGGCCAAAAAGTACAAGAAACTGTCAAAGCTGTTGGCTGTGAGTGCCTCGAAAACCTGCATCTTTTTCATGTATCCAGGCAGAGATTGGGGGCAAATTCAAAAAGCAGATTTATTTATCTGATAGTGAGCTCCCGTTGTCTGCTTCATCATATTTTAATGTAGTTTTTGATAGAGAGGCTGTCATAATTGGTTTTGTTCATTGTTTTTTGACTTTAATTATTTGGTTTCAGAATTGCTATTGATGTTTGACGGCTTTGCTTGATGCCTTGCAGTGGTGAAAAAACATGAGTGCGTGTTTTTAGGTGGCGTGAGTACTCTTTGGGTGTTTTTTGCAGAAAGTGCTCTAATGAGACAGAGGACACTCTTACTTTGAAGCAGTACAGAAAAATAGTGACTAATGGAGTAACTGTCAAGGTCAGATAGTTGCAGCTGTGTCAGTCTCACCTTTCCGTGAATTTCTCAAGAAAGCTCCAGCAACCTTCCCACTTTTCTCTGTAAACAACTCCAATCATCCTAACGTTGGAAATAGCAGTACGTTGCGAAGCGGCGCCGTAGCGCGACGCTATAGCGCGACGCTGCAGCGCGACACTGCAGCGCGACGCTGCAGCGCGACGCTGTGGGCCTACAAGTCTGAACGCTGCCCAAAAGATACCCCTCTACAGCTGCCACTCTGTCCGCCGATTTATGGAAAAGAACAATTACGTTTATATTAATGGAGGCTGAAACAGTGTGACATTGTTGACCCTAGTTCCGTTCCATGCACTGCTTTCATCGAAAACAAATCGAGAATCGACGGACACCATCGTAACCCCATTAATTTTGAGCTTCTTTTGTCGGAATGCAAAGATGCGTCTCTTGAGCTGACTGTTCTCATCACTTTTCTAAAAAAACGACTTTTGCTCATGAAGTTTCCAAAATTTCATATATTCGGAAAGCTTCGAAAGAGATGTCAGTTATAGGGAGATAGCGGTGGGCCACTGTTCCAGCTCAACAAGAAAGGACGATACGTTGAACTCGTGTTACATCGGGTGCTGTCCCTGGCCCTACGATTGTGATACACCAGGTATGCTTTCTATTGGTTCTCTATGATTTCCTATTGTATCTCTGTAAAGATAGGACAGTGGTCTAGGAAGAAAGCGAGACACTAGAAACTCAAGTGAATTACTGCTGTTGGGGGGAAGTGTGCATGAGAAAATCCTTCTGTCATGTGAACAGCTCTCATCGATGCAGATGAATGTGGCAGTGAGGGCTAGGTTTGGCGTGGTGTCAGCCATTCCTCACACAGGTTTTTAGCGTGTGAAGGGCAACAGCTGGTAGAAAACGAGTGGTACGACTGGTAGGATACAGTCTTATCGCTTGCCAAGAAAAGAAGAAAAGAGATTCACGACAACGGAAAGATGAAGCTTGGCAGCTGTCGCTAGACAACCCGGACTTGTTGCCAGCCTAGGGTGGCTGATTTCAATACACCTAAGGCGGTCAGTAAAGAGGCTCGCTACTGCTTTGTGCCGACCAAACCTTTGCT